CAGGCGTCCAATGAGCACTAGCGAAGATCTCAAACGGAGCATGCGCAGACATTAGGCCCAGGTAAAACCAGTCTCTTGGACACACCCACCTTAGGCACATCACACAGGTAGGCGTAACTCAGCCAATGGGGTCAACCAGGCCTACCAAGCAACTGGTGGAGGATGATAGTCTTCGCCCCCACCTGCTCCGGCCTACTCGGGTCCCCACAGCCTCTTGGCCCCCATGCTCTTAGTCTCTGTTCCCCATTCTTTTAGCTTCTGGGGTTCTTGGGCTTCTGGCCTCCCGGATCCCCCCAAGTTCCACACATGTGGGTCCTCTTTTCCATGTGGTTGTTTGTGCCCAGTTGTGAATCCCAGTGTGGCTTCTGTTCAGCTTGGCAAGCTATCCAGAAACAGCGTGTCCCCGTTTGAGACTGTAAAACCCGAAACTTGTCCAGCCCTTCCTAAAAACTCACTTGGGTTACAAAACATGCTTGGACGTGAATTCTTTCAGCGTGCGAAGCAAAGGACAGAGGTATAATCCACAACAGGAACCTAACACTAGAGGTCTTTATACATAAACATTTGTTTCTCTATCACCTTTGGGTTCCCCACTGCTATTGAGTGGTTTCCGATTCATAGCAGCCCTATTTATCGTTTCTGAAACTGGAAATCTTTACAGAAGCAGATAGATAGCCATTAGACTATGCGATTTGGGAGCACACCCCCTACCTAAATATTTAATGGAAGTACGATCCACTTGCTTCACATGGAAATTTCATAGATCAAGATGACAATCAAACGCTGTATTTGGGGGCATATTGAATTGTTTGAACTTTCAGCAGACTGGTTGACTAAAATGGTAAATCCAAAAGCACATGTTCACCTGAGACATTGAACTCGTTTGAAGAATTATCTATACACCTCCTGGGACTTGTGGGTTGGATTGGCAACCATGCTTTAGAGTAAATGGCTAAGTAAACACAGTTGCTGGCCATTTATTCTGATAATATTGCTTGCATGGGGTGTGAGTGTTTGGAAGGTAGGCCCATCTTTCTAACATTTTTGGTTCCCTCGATGAAATGTTGGTAGGAGCCTTCGTGGTTTGGTGTTGGTCTGTTAACTGCAGGGCCAGCAATTTTGAAACCAAAAGCCGTGCCCCCGGGAGAACAAGGAGACTTTCTCCTGTAAAGAGTTCGTCTAGGAAACTCCCGGGGCAGTTCTATCTGTTCCATAGGGGGCGCTATAAGTTGGGATCGACTCAGCAATGAGTTTGGTTTGGGTTTGGTAAGTCAAAGGCAGGTCCAGCATTGAAAGAATTGCATTGACATTGCTTCGAAAGTTTCTTGACATCCTCACGCATATTTAAAGAAGCTCCAGAGAGGTCATGTCATTTTGTGATGGTATATGATGCACTGGTTAAGGCGCTTGGCTGCTACACCACTAGGTCGGTCATTCTCACTCGCTTCTGCTCTGCTGACAAACGAATACAGTACTCATTGTTTCTGTAAATATTACAGGTTTGGAAACTCCGTGGGACATTGTTACTTTATCTTATTGGGTGACTACGGGTTGGAATCCACTAGAGGGTAATAGGTTTGGATTTGGGGGCCTTGTCAGATAAACTGACTGACCACAGTGTAAAAATCTCTGGCTGTATCACAGTTTCAACCCCTTTCCCACACCTGGTTCTTCCTAAATGTGTTTACTCTCAGATTCAAAAATGTTTCCCACCTAACTCTTTGAGCTGCTTGCTGATCTTATTCGAAAAGTGCTCTCCCTGTTGGAGTATCCCGTTGTCCCTCTAGGCAATACTTCCACCACCACCCCTCCTTTTTCTCTCTGAATAAAGCTTTTCTTTATGGACGTCTTTACACTTTTGACAAACACAAGGGAATCTTTGGATCTACATATTCTTTTGAAATGTATGTGTAATCATTATAGAAGAGATGGGATTTCTACTGTGATCACAAAATACTGAAACAGTATTAAACTTCTCTCTTTGGCTACTTTACCCATACTTTAA